TAAGGAAAGAATGTAAGGTCTTTCAATGAAGCTGACAACGGACTGTCCCTTGCAGTTGCGTATTTTATGGGGGGGTGGGGGGGGGGCAGGGGGTAGGGGGCAGGGGGGCAGGCGTCCCCGAGACAGTCTGGCGGGGCGGTAATAATATTTGGAAACTTGGAGGTAATAATTTTCTCCCCTGATATCGCTTGGGTGGGATTTGGCAGCCCCGTTCTGTTGCCCTGCACCCTTGACCCTTCAGCCAAAATACGCCACTGCTCCATTGTCATCCCTTACAAAAATTTATTTACGAAATCCCTTACAAGAATTTCTGACTGCTTCGTAGATGCGCACGCAAGCATTCCTATCGATCCTCGAAGAGACGAATTTCACGTCGTGAGCTACACGTGTCGAAGCACGTGCAACTCACGTTTGTAATGTCGATTTTTTTGTAAAGGCAATCAGCACCTTGTAATCCCCGCAGAAGGTGCCATCGGCCGCCGCCTCCATGCGAGACACGCACACCTCGCCCAGCTGACACCACAGGACCTGACACACGTTCTAGAATGGGAAAAAAAAAATTCAGATGAGAGATGAGAGATGAGAGATGAGAGATGAGAGATGAGAGATGAGAGATGAGTGACCTGGGGAAAGATGTGGCAGTGTGTGGAATCCGGGCCGTACTGCAGCAGGCACTGCTGGTCCAGGTCGTACATGGCCCCGGGGGGCAATTCCCTTTCTCGCTCCGTCGTCGTCGTCGGCTCGTCCAACAGGCACGATCCCCATTCCCTCCTATCAATTAAATATGAGTGATTGATGTAATTAATGGCAATGAGAGTCGAGGGGAAGGGTCACGAGCTTCGCTCGGCCAGCGCTAGATGTCTCTAGCTGTTTCGAGTCGCTTCCGCTTAAATTTTCTGAATTTTTTTCCGATCGTCAGCAGGAGTGAGACGTAAAATGAAGTACTGGAATGAGTACTGGACAAATGAAATTAGTGGACGCACTCGAGGAAGGTCGTGATGGCGGATCGGGAGCAGGGCGACCAGATGACCGGCGCGTTGCTGGCCATCAGGTGGGGCGACATGATGTGTTGGCGGACGCCGGGGTTCATCCCGCAGCCGTTTTCGCTGTCGTCGTGGACTGCGCCGAAGCTGAAACGCGATTATTATTATTTTTTAGTTCTCGCTGTCGAGGGAGGTGCAAAAACGCGTGGAGAACCTGAAAACTCGGGACTTAGACTGCTGGTAAAATATCAAAATTTCAAATGAAAGTTTTTCAAATGCAGAATTTGAAAGTGGATTCAACGAAAGGCGTGAAAGGGACGCGTCGCCGAGCATAAAATAATATAATCAAGCCGAACGCGAAACCCGGCAAGACCGACGCGGCCAACGGGACAGGAAACTGACTTGTGGCCCAGCTCATGCGCGATGGTGTAGGCGAGCCCCAGCCCCGTGTCCTCGTTGATGCTGCAGCTCCGGCTCGGCTGGCACATCCCGGCCACCTCCGCCAGCCCGAGGGTGCTGCACGGCTCGTTCATCCGGGTGCAGATGTTGTACCTGAGAACGTATCGCGACAGAAAAAAAATCCATAAAAAGTAACATTCGGTTATAGTCTACTGTGGACGATGGTCGACGATGGGCTACATCTTCCACTTCCCGAAGGAATTCATTGAAACTTTACATTGACGACGATCTCTCATCCTCACAAATATATGGTCATATTTCGATCTAACAGTCGAAGCATCGCCCAAATATTTCTCATGACATGAAAAAATATTCATATTTTGCATGGTGAATAGGAAGGAAATGAGAAAATGCGGTCACGGACCTCGTGATGAGAAGCGCGACGTCGTGGTGGTGGGGGTCCGAGTCGGTCCCCAAGTTCGCGTCCTCCTGCCAGGCGCAGAAGTTCTTCAGGGTGTCCCCGGCGTGGTGGCTCACCTGGAGGTCCGGCTGCAAGGGAAGGCATGTGCAGGGAGTCGGGCCGGGAGGGATCACGGAGGAGGAGGAGGGCGAGGCGGGAGGGATCTCGGAGGAGGAGGAGGGCGAGGCGGGAGGGATTCCTAAGGAAAGGAAGGTGGAGAACGAGATTCCTCCCGGCTCGGTCACGTGGGTGGAAGCTCACGAGTTCAGCCTCGAGGAAGACGATCCGGACGGGGACGATGTTGATGGCATTCCCGATCGACGCGTCGCGGTACAACCCGGACACCTGCGGAAAGGTCAAGGACTCGAGGACTCGAGGACGAAGGACGGAGAGGTGGGAGGAGTCGGCCGACCATGTTCATGATGGTGAGGATGTAGCTCTCCAGGTCCTCCTCGGCGTAGAACTGAACCATCTGGTGGTCGGCGACGACCAGCGCCTCCACATTGTATTCGCGGCTCACGTCCCGTCGACGCCGGCTCCGGCCTGCGACGGGAAATATCCGATTTCAAGCCGAATTTTTAATTTTTGGATCTGCGTGCTTTCGATCATCCCTTTTCTCTGTATTTTCGGATGTGCCCAAAAGGCCCAATCTGGTTGGCAGGAGAAGTTTCACTCCTCGTTCCTCCACGAATTTGATTTCGATTTTCAGATTCTTTCAGAATCAGACTCCGAAATTTCATGCATCTTCCATAATCATAATTTCGACGGTCCTGCGCAGAGTTCGGTTTGATCGATTACAGCTGCTACTAGTTCAAAGATATTGCCAAAAGATGGCACATAAGGCCTAAGCCTTAAGGCCTTAAATTAATTGGTATTTCATGGGTAATTATACCAACAAAAAATGGTACGTGGTAAGAGCTCATTTTTTCCTTCTTTCCTGGCAGGTAGGAGACAGGAATGTCGGAATGTCGGAGTGTTGCTACTGATGGAAGTACCGAGACTCAGGCATCCTTCCGCTCGCTGTGGAATTTAGGTGATGGACCATTTCGACGTGAAGGAAAAGCCACACTCGCGAGAGAAGTTTCCCCTCCAGAGAGTCGAATTGAGTCGATTGAAACCTCTGGGGCAGAGACTCTTAATGAGTAACGATGAGTAACGATGAGTAACGGAGATGGGTCGGTCACTGGGAACGGGCACGACGTTTCTTCATGGGAGCAAAAACACAGATGCACGACGCAGATTCACTAGAAGAACCTTCAGTGAAGCGCTACGCGTCCGAGGTCCGCCATCTTGTATCGCAAGGTGTTAAAAGAAGCGCCAGACGTCGCATGCGTCTGCGGGAAGGGATGTCGTCTGCTAGGTGGGAGTATAGGCGCTGTCCGTGTAGGTCCCGCGGGACGGCGGGAGGTGATATCCGCGGGATGCGGGACGGTCCGTGCCGGGGACCGATGGGCTTCTTCGACCGGCTGATTTCTGGGGCGTCTTCGATTTTTATATGCACTCTGAGGGATGGGAAGGGTCGACATCGAGCGGGATAACTGGTTATGCTGGGTCCTGGTGGAAGTAAAAATTCCTTCTCTGCTTGTGTCTGCTTGGTGGAATGTCGTGTGTACTGGACGATCTGGTCTATGAAGAAAACAATTTTCAGTTTCTCGTTGGAGTTTTTCAATACTGAATATCCGTGGAGTAATTCTTGATTGTATTTTCTTCGTGTCCACTTTCCCCTCTCGTGGACCCACCAATCATCAGCTTCATACTTTCGTCATAATTAATGTATTTTCTTTGAACCGTGTCAATGGCGCCTCTCCATAGAACATGGTGCCAACCGAAGAGGATTCCACGACGTACCTTTATTTGTATTGGTGGTCGCACCTTCCAATGGTATAGAACATCATTAGCACTCTCCTCACCTTAAAACGCCTCGTGACGACCGCCTTCCCGTAAAGACCACAAAAAACAAACCCAGAACTCACCCGAAAACGCATCCAGCCGCAATTTGCCCTCAAGCGACATCTGCCCTCCGAACCCAAAACCACCAGCATCCTCAGAATACACGAGATGTCTACCGCCTCCCTCCTCCGCCGGCTCCACGAACACCATCACGTCACCTCGCCAGACCCATCCTGTCTACGAACATCCACCATGACCTCCACTCTTCACGGTTGAACTGGTCAGTGACGTCACGCGAGAGCGATCTATAAAAGCCTCCTCCGCGCAGCGAGACTTGCCAGTCCGACGCAGGTCGAGACGGCGGCCGCTGAGCCGGGGATGCCCCGCACTCGTCCCAGGTAGTGACACTTCCGTGTCGCACGCTTCCGTGTCGTCGTCCTCCGCGCTCCCCCGTCCTTGCCGACGCGTTCCACCGCGATCCGGTCCGAGTCGAGGTCCGGATTCGGCCAGAGCTCCAAGACCTCCCTGGATCCGTTCAGCATCAGCGAATACTCCACCTGCTCCACCGGCTCCACCAGCTCCACCGGCTCCACCAGCTCCACCGGCTCCACCGGCTCCACCGAGCGACGCACCCGCCCATCCCGGATCTCCACCCGTCGGGGCCAGTCAACGCTGTACTCTCGGGGCGTCGACTTCGAATAGTAGCCTGAAAATATATGGGAAATACTATTTAGTCTAAAACATACTTAAAACCACTTAAACAATTTATATACAAATGGCAATTAGTTTTTATTGTTTAATTTAAAGCCATTCAAATTAATATATTCAGTCGGATCGCGAGAAAATTCTTGCACGAGAAAGTACTCAGTACGAGGAAGTACTGGCCTCGAAGCAGCTCGGCGTGCGACGGAAGGACGAGAACGGCCCAGGCGATGATCCACATACTGCGATGCTCACGGGACTGACTCGATGTCTGGGGGGGTGGGGGACGTGACGGGGGAGGCGACATGGGAGGCGACATGGGTATGGCAGGGGGATGGGATCCAGGCATCCCGGTCAAGGCCCTGCCAGCCAGGGCCAAACAACCGGATCCCTGCAGCGAAGGAGCGAGTAGACCTTTGCAGTCCCAATTTTTATTTTCATTTTTGCATTTTTATTTTTATTTTTATTATTTTTTTAAATTTTTATTATTTATTATTTAAATTTTTATTATTTATTATTTTAATTTTTTATATTTATTTTAAAATTTAGAGTTTTACTTGAAAATAATTTTTTTTTTTAAGTAATTGTACTTTTATTTTACTTTTTAACTAATTTTATTTTAATTTTAAAAATATTTCAATCCTTTGGAAAATTTTCTGAAAATTTTCTCTATATTTTGAATGTAATTTTACCGCAACTTAATAACATTATGAATGCATACAAATTTAAATAGCTCTCTAAAAAGAGGCAATTAAATGGAACGATAATCCGAGGAGAGAGGAACGTGGCAACGTCGGAGTACTGGCACTGGATCGGGTGCAGGGGGGCGGACGGAGACGGATCGGATCCCGCCCAGGGACGGAAAAGGAGGGGGAAAGGGAATTCCGCAGTTCGTTCGCAGGTCCCGCCGGGAGCACCACACTCGCGGCGTTCGCGGCTTTCGCGGCTCTCGCGGCTTTCGCGAACGTGCGGGATTTCGCCGCGATTTTTCTCTGAGGGTTGGTCCTCAACAGTTGGCTGTGATTCGCGAATTTGACTGTGAGTCCGACTGTGAACTCGACTGTGAGCTAATCTGTGAGCTAATCTGTGAGCTCATCTCTGAGCTAATCTGTGATATCCCGAAGAGGAGCCCAAAGCGAGGCGCCTCGATGAGGAGGTATTGCAATTTTTTCCATTTTGCAGTCTGGAAATCTCGCGATCGTCGCGAACAGTACCCGCGATCGTCGCGATCAAGATCTGCGATCCTCGAAAAAACACAAGTGAAATTTTCGCCCCCCCCCCCCTCCCCCGCGAAATTGAGAATTGCCAATTTTTGGCACACCGATCTCACGTGAAACGGGAACGAGGTCATCTGAGGTCAACCTCTTCCCGGTTGACCTCAGATAACCTCAGTTTTCGCGGAGCGGATTTCTGAACCAGCTCCTGTTTCATTCGTTTCATTTCCTATATTTATACATATTCATGCATTCATATTTTTAATATCTCATATTCCATACGTTATAATATACTCCGTGCGGAATTCCTCACGCGGCGATCGACTTGCAAAATGGCAAATGCGACCTTTGTTCTCTTGGAAGCAGGCGATGAGCAAGAAGGCGGCGCTGCTGGGGAGGTTCAACGCGACCGAGTCCCCACCCGTCCTCCACCCTGTCCTCCACCCCGTCCTCCACCCCGTTCTCCACCCTGTCCTCCACCCCCACGTCGTGCAACCTCCCATCATCAAACCTTCCGTCACCCGACCTCCTATCGTTAGACCTTTCGTCATCCGACCTTCTGTCACCCAACCTCTCGTCACCCAACCACCCGTCACCCAACCTCTCGTAATCAAACCTCCCGTCACCCAACCACCCGTCATCGAGCCTCTCGTCACCCAACCTCTCATCGTCAAACCTCCCGTCATCAAACCTCCCGTCACCCAACCTCCCGTCACCCAACCACCCGTCATCGAGCCTCTCGTCACCCAACCTCTCATCGTC